GCCAGCTTGTGCCCTTGTTTGCGTTTTACTTGTTTCAAGCCATAGGTTTGAAAATCCTTCTGTCCTGCCCATTAGAGCCAGGCGGCCACACGCTGACCACCCGCAATCAGGACCGGCAGGTAGCCAGAATTTCCCTCATGAAGGATGCTACAGTTTCTCCCAAACCCTGCGAACTTCGACAAAACTCTGCGAAATCGTCCAGTATCTTGTATAAACACCTTGGCTCTGAAGAGGGTGAGAACTGTGCCCAATGACACAGCAATCTCGACACGGTCGTCTTGGTCCCCGCTTGGCCATGTTCCTACCTACGACCATGCCACGGTCTTATAACCAATCACAGTCAGTCACAAAAGAGCATAATTTACGGATCGCCTCAAGACAAGCGCCTGCATTTTGTGGTCTGCGAAGAGTGGAACAGGACCTTCTACGGCCGCTTGCACTGTGCCTCATCACCCGTTCTTCTTCGTCAGCCGGCCGCCAGGGCCCAGTGGGCCACCCGGCCGCCACGTGACCACGTCCCCGGGGTAGCCAGCCCCGGTTTAAGGTCAGGAAAAGCCACTCAAATAAAGGATACAAGTCGACGCTAATGGTCAAAACTGACTAACGCTCTGTGCGATGACCACGAGGGCAAAGGTTAGGAACAAATGCAGGTGTAGTTCCACTGTGGGCGTGGAAACACACCTGCACATTGTGGGCTTCACGCGGTTTTTTTGCTGATTCCGATCAGGCACATACGTGTACTGTACACTGACACCTTCCATTTTTCGCCCAAACTACGTACCTGTCCAAAGTGGCGCGCCGCTCGATGCGTGCCAGGTCGTACGATCGCCTTGTTCTGAAGTATCACACCGACATGAGCTACTGTTTGCAAATACCGTACTGCAGTTTCAATTAGTGGAATTGGGCCAATACCACCCTCGTGATTTACATTTGTGACCGGAGCTCTTCTGTCATGGCCACCGTGCACAGGCGGGGCGTGGTTTAAATTTGTGACCGGAGCTCTTCTGTCATGGCCACCGTGCACAGGCGGGGCGTGGTTTAAATTTGTGACCGGAGCTCTTCTGTCATGGCCGCCGCGCACGGGCGGGGCAGTCAGAATGACTGCTTTTTTAGGACCAAATCATAGCCTAATTCGCAGTACACCAACACACTGTGAACAGACTACAGGTGTCACAAAGGCTAATACGTACAGCACCTATTAGACTACACGTTTTAGCCTAGCCTTCGTCGTCTACCCTGACGCGGAAAGTATTCGCCTCAGCTGCGTAACGACATATTCACTCGGCTATCCGCACAACATGTCATCAGATTTATGCTGTTGGACGCGAAATGTCAAGCCAAAACACTTTTATTGATGATCAAACCATGAGACTATATTCCTTAGCATCCGGTTAAAAAAACTGCTGCCGATCCTGATGGGATGCTTAAGCCCCATCAGTCCTTTGACTGCGCCCCTGGCCATACGTAAGCCCCACCAGTCCTTTGACTGCGCCCCTGGCCGTACGTAAGCCCCATCAGTCCTTTGACTGCGCCCCTGGCCATACGTAAGCCCCATCAGTCCTTTGACTGCGCCCCTGGCCATACGTAAGCCCCATCAGTCCTTTGACTGCGCCCCTGGCTATACGTAAGCCCCATCAGTCCTTTGACTGCGCCCCTGGCCATACGTAAGCCCCACCAGTCCTTTGACTGCGCCCCTGGCCGTACGTAATCTCCATCAGTCCTTTGACTGCGCCCCTGGCCGTACGTAAGCCCCATCAGTCCTTTGACTGCACCACTGGCCGTACGTAAGCCCCATCAGTCCTTTGACTGCGCCCCTGGCCGTACGTAAGCCCTAACAGTCCTTTGACTGCGCCCCTGGCCGTGCGTAAGCCCCACCAGTCCTTTGACTGCGCCCCTGGCCGTACGTAAGCCCCAGCAGTCCTTTGACAGCGCCCCTGGCCGTACGTAAGCCCCAACAGTCCTTTGACCGCGCCCCTGGCCGTGCATAAGCCCCATCAGTACTTTGACTGCGCCCCTAGCCGTACGTAAGCTAAACCTTAATCACATTGTAGCCTAGAAATGCCGATGTCAGTCGCGCATTCTGACCTCTGTTGTCGGTGTCAGCCGCGCGTTCTGACCCCCTTAGCAGATGCCAGCCGCACGTTCTGACCCCTGCCGTCGGTGTCAACCGTAAATTCCGGCCCCTATAGTCAGTGTCAGTCGCTCATTCTGATACCTAAAATAGGTATCAGCCGCGCATTTTGACTCCTCTCGTCGATGTCAGTCGCACATTCTGACCCCTATATCTTTAACCACGCGCTCAGTGTTCCTGTTAGTTTTTTGTCCAGGTCATCCGTTCCTCCGTGCACTGACATGTTTTGGTCTCGCGCTTGACCTGTGTCCGTGTCACCCCCATGCGCCGACATGCGTCAGTGGCGACCTCGTTTGCTAACCCGTGTCTGTGTCGGCCCTCCATGGCGTTTGTTGCTGTCGGTCTCGTGCCAGGACCGACGCCCGTATGGGTCTAGCTCTCTGGCGTTTGCTCGTGTTCGCGTCCGGTCAGCTGACCTCTCTGTTACCGGCATCCCCATTTCTTCTTAACGAAGATTCCGCCGCAGGGTACCGTAACGTATTCGTTATCGTCATAATATCCTCAAACATATATCATTGTGGTATAGTGTTATCTACTTACGATGGGAACTCATTTTTCAGAAAGGGAACTGCGATTAATCTAGACTTGGTGGTAGACAACGGTGGCTAGGCTTTCCACACCAAGGCGGCCCCGTAAACTCCGTCCATACCGGCACCGCGGTGATCGGGGCACAGTGTCCAAAGCCACGGCGAAGGTCTAAAGCTTCGCGGGTTTGAGGTTTGTGCGAATGTTGTTCGTCTATAATACCAACCAAGCCCCTAATGACCTGCCATAGCAATCTTCGTGCATAAATAAGCTCTGATGGAGGGAGGGGGAGAAGGGACCCGCAGCACAGGAAAGGAAATGCCGGAAAACAGCGAGCACTTGAAAAAGGAAAGAAAGTGATGGCTGCTCGCGCGATGATCCGTATGAATATGACAGCTCAGCTCGCCTCACCCGATGAGAACACTGCTGCGTACGACGAATACGTGCTTTGACTTCGAACACAAAATGCTCAGATGGTACGCCATGCAGTTGCCAACGGCCGAGGTAAGCACTGACGTGACAATGAACAGGTGCATCGCAAAGATCTAAATGTACCTCAATAGCGAGGACGCATTTTTTCTTTGGTTGTATTTGCTCTGGTTTTTGCCTCACTTGTGAGTGGGACGTGTGCTAAATGTTGAAACTGTCCACTGCTTGGTGTAGGTTTAATGCTTTCCAGTGCCAACAATAATCCCTCATATGCATGCTTTCACATGCAAGTTGGCAAAATCATCCATGAACAATACATCATTCGCCTAATCAGCCACCCATCCCATACCGGGGCTGTACCAATCCCATATCGGGGCTGTGCCCATCCCATGCCGGGGCTGTGCCCATTCCATACCGGGGCTGTGCCCATTCCTTTTCGGGACTGTACCCACACATGCAGTATCCTACTTCATATGTATATTATGCACATGTGCTATATGAGTTGATACTCGAAGCCATGCTTTTCTCAATAAACCGTCTCTCTCTCTCTCTCTCTCTCTCTCTCTCTCTCTCTCTCTCTCTCTCTCTCTCTTCTCTCTCTCTCTCTCTCTCTCTCTCTCTCTCTCTCTCTCTCTCTCTCTCTCTCTCTCTCTCTCTCTCTCTCTCTCTCCTCTCTCTCTCTTCTCTCTCTCTCTCTCTCTCTCTCTCTCTCTCTCTCTCTCTCTCTCTCTCTCTCTCTCTCTCTCTCTCTCCACTTGAAGCGACACGTGCCGTGCTCGAGACTAGCTTCGAAAACAGTGCCACTGCCCGCCCCTCGGGCCGCTGCTGGCGCTCCGCCGGTCGCCCAGTGCGAGATGATCATATGACTTGTGGACGGCATAACCGACCACTTGTGGACGGCATACCCGACCACACCGAGCGCTTGGTCTCCTGTTACCTCCGCCCTGGTCGCCCGCATCTGAGACCAGACCTTGTCTCATTGGGGCTTTACGACGCACTCAGCTGCTGCGGATGTATGGCGTCGCCTGCTTCTCGCCCTGGCAGAAAGGGCGGGCACCGCGGGGAATCGAGCCCGGTACCTCTGGTTTCCCAGGCGCGCAGTGGTTAACGCAGACCCGCTAGCCAATACGCTACCGGCACCCCCTGCGACCAGACCCTAAAGCGAGTTTTTCACATTTAAGGATATTGAGAAACTTATCAGATATGATGGAACAAACTCACTTATAACCATTAGTGTTCTTTTTAAGTGGAAAAGACTGCTCTAGGCAGTACAATTCTGTTAGTAAATATACTCCTCAATGCGTCATGGTTTGATTACGCCATCGTACCTCATACAACATTGAGAGCCAATTGACGGCCGTGGTATCTGGAAATCGCACACACAAACGCTGGATAAGAACACCTCTACACATAAATCTTTCTTGGCACTGATCGCCGCATGGCTTATGGAACGGCAGGGTTTGAATGGCCTTATTAAGACGTCATAAATGTCAAGCTGATTTTGAAATACTCTCCCCTAAATACCTTTCCCTATTTTCGCCAGCGTGTAGCTAATAATCTAGGGGCTTAGGTCTCAGGAAGGGCAGGATTGTGATCAGCACGGAAAGGTCTTTAAGATGACTACTTCAGTTAAAAAACCCGTTTAAGTGTGGAACACTCCCTTTAAAAACGATGCAGCGGGCGAACCCATAGTCTGCCTTCTAACGCACGCGACGGGCAGCACACATCGGTCCTCGCTTTCACTAACACGACCATCGATTTGGACCTGCGTCAGCCAGCGTCGGTCGTGCACGACTGAGCCGCCATGTAGGCGGGAGCTGGGCTGGAGTTCAATCCGTACTAAGCAGCTGTTTCACAAGATAGATACTTACGGCGAAAACCCGCGCAGCAAGCCTGAGCCCGCCCGGTGCCTCACCGTCTGGAAGATCGAGGTCAGCTGAGTGCCGAACGCGCAGGCGTCCGTCAGGATGAGCACGCCCAAGCCGCTGCGGATGATAACCTTGTCCGAGGTGGCGTACACCGCGTACAGCAGGTGGCTCAGACCTGCAGCGGCGGAGCATGACGCGTCAGTCGGTCGGCATGGCGGGCTCTTTCAAGGGTGGGTTCGACACTTCATCGCGTATCGTTTTTGTGGACCGCCCATGACTGCGGTCTTCAAGTTCGCCGCCCAACGTCTAAATCTTCAGCAGAAATGAAACTCGGGCCACCCACGTGAAACTATGGAACTATGCTAGACGAGTCAGACTGTGGCCCCCTCGATCCTCCACTCAGTTCTGCAGGGCAAGACTGCTGACCGCTACGAATGCAAGGGCGTCACAGTGTTCCAGCTGCTACCACTCCAGCTATGAACGTGACGTTGGATCCCTACTACTGCCTACATCACCTATTAGCGTGATGCCGTAGCCCCTGCTGACCAGCGCCAGCGCCGGCGCGTCCTGCTGGGTGACGGCCAGCAGCTGCAGCTGGGCGGCCCAGGCCGGGCTGACCACCAGCAGGCCGCCGTGCAGACCCAAACCGCAGGTCAGCATCAGGTACCAGCCAAGCAGGCCGCGCGGAAAGCGCACGTACAGGTGCTCGTTATGGCCGAGCACCTGCGAGATCTGTCGACCGGGGGTGGCGGGTCAGACGCCGTCTCCGCGGTGGTGCACGCCAGGTCGGCCGGCGCCACGCACACCCAGTCAATTTAGGGTTAGTAGTGTTGGTAGGACGACCCACTGAACATATATGACACAGATTAAGAGGTAAAAATGATAAAAAGCCACCCGAAACACGCTGTTTATTGAATCATTGTGGCGCCGTGTAGAAGCTGACTTCCTCGAAAACACTCTGCGCAGTAAATTTTTATCTAGCATATGCCTGTGAAGGATACTGTTGTCAAAGCCGCTAACTCACTATTCTGACACTATTCCCAATATCGATATTTCCACGGAATATGACAAACAGCAAGCTAGCTGGTACGGACCAATGACACATTCCATGCAGCGAGTGTGTTGAAGCTTATCATTAGTATATATATATATATATATATATATATATATATATATATATATATATATATTTGGGGGATAAGGGACGTGAACGTAATTAACACTATTACCAATCATTTAGCCATCCAGCGGGCGTAAACGCCTGCCCTCCAGATGCCTGTGGTTGTGGTGTGGCGACTGGTAGAGTGAGGAACATCTTTCCCACTCTCAGCTCTCCCGGGCGTCTTGGGACGTCGTTTGGTGTCCTTGTCCCCTCAGGGCAGGGACACCAGATGAGGTCCCCGTCTCAGGCCAGTCTTCGGCGAGTACTAATACAGACAACACGTTTTGCCCCTGTCTCTGAACGATTCAGTGGTTTGCAGGCACGTCAATAACATCCACCTTTTCTATTCTCAAGAAGCATGCACATTTGGGTTAGTTTTGTCTCCTCTCACGATTCGCGTAGCAGTAGACCGGCACCGAACGTCTCCTGAGGTGGACCGACTAACTGTGCTTCCATACCGAGTACGCGCACTGCCAATGAAGGAAAACCTGCGCACTGGCATGAGAACATGTTGCAGTGGCAGCAAGAAAGCAAATGTGAGGAATCGGCGTCGGCATTTCGTTTTGGTGACTTCCGCTGGAATCAATCAAATTGATGGAGGACATCAAGTTGGCGCTTTCCCAAAGCAGAGAATCAACTGCACGAAAAGATAGTCTGGGACAGCTCACACTCGGCTGAAATATGATCCCCAAAACCAGAGGATCAACTGCCTGAAAAGAGAGCCTGGGAGAGGCGGGTAACAGTTCACAGTAAGGTTGAGTGAAACATGGGGGTGGTGTGACCATCGCGCACCACGCAGTCAAAGACTTCCCTCTATTTACGGCGACGCGTCCCGCGGCTACCAAATGCACTTTTCATATTCACATCAAAGAAACGCTCATTTGCCGTACACATGGGTCCTGGTGGTTTACCAGTAACACGCACGATTTTCACATTTTCCGCATTCAAAATGCCTTTTTCAGGTCAGCTTATCACCCAAATTCAAGTTTGACCACCCAACTCTAATCTGTTCCCCAACCTCGGAGATATAGTCATATATATGACTGCATGCACACTCTCGCGGGAGCTATTCTAGCATAGGATGGTTTGCTTCATTCCGATGTCATTTAAAAGATGTCGCGTCAAAACGATTCACCACTGTACCCTAGCACACAAGTTTCACCATGGTGTAAAACACATTTATTTTGACACGGACCCATTGAGGGACGCTTCGGTTTCAATTGCTGAATGACCATTAGAAAGCAATTGATCCGAATATTTTTAATTGCTATAATTCGTGGAGTGATTTTTTGTCAACGTAGACTTTGCGTTACACACACCCGCCACACCTCAACGGTGTGAATGCCGCTCGGACTAGGCGGAGCCGTGGTTCCACCCGCGTCAGCCGGCCCAACACTTCCAATCAGCGCGCAAGATCGACTCCGACGCCGCAGGATGGAGCGCGGCCACCTCTAGTCCACAGGGCGGAGCACGGCCACCTCTGGTCCACAGGGCGGAGCGCGGCCATCTCTGGTCCACAGGGCGGAGCGCGGCCATCTCTGGTCCACGGGACGGAGCGCGGCCACCTCTGGCCCAAGGGGCGGAGCGCGGCCACCTCTGGTCCACAGGGCGGAGCGCAGCCATCTCTGGTCCACGGGACGGAGCGCGGCCACCTCTGGTCCACGGGGCGGAGCGCGGCCACCTCTGGTCCACGGGGCGGAGCGCGGCCACTTCTGGTCCACGGGGCGGAGCGCTGCCACCTCTGGTCCACGGGGCGGAGCGCGGCCACCTCTGGCACCATCGCCTCGCCAGCTGACCCGCGTCCGTGCGCGCGCCCGCGGCCTCAGCGCGCGGCCCGTGGGAAATCTGCGGCGACTGGTGAGCGCTGCCCGGGCGGCGGCGCCGGAAGCCGGAGTAGCCGGTGCCGGGCAGCCAGGCTGATTGATGCCCCTATCGACCCGAAAGCGGATGGGTCAGGGATCAGAAGAGCGATTCTTAACAGACGATTTAGCTCTCGCACAAACACGTGACATGTGACCCGCATAACACGTGACATGTGCGATGTGCCCGCTCTCCTCCTCCGATCACTGAGGAGCAGCCCGGAGAGGTTCAAACCACGGATGACGACACTGGAGGTGAAGGACATGCACCCCGATTCTATTGGGGCGAGTTTTGTTCCCCCAATACCGTCCACAAAGTACAAGTCCTTGTGCTTTTTACCCAAAACATATCATTTCAGATCAAGTCACGGCTCCCTGCTTGTCGGCCCGCAATCGCCAGGACGTGGGGAATGTGAGGCTATGCGAGCACGTTAATTCTGTCCCATGAGCGGGTCTCAGAGGCTCCCATAAGGTTTTCCTGAATAACTGCTATGTGATTTTGAGCATGGTGCTGAGGTTTTAGGATACCCGAATTTATATCACTTTTACACGGTTTTACCCCAGTGTACGATGTTAAACATGGGGGAAGGTTGACCACGTAACTTGTAAAAGTACGCTGCGAACTTCTTGATATGCACCAGTCCATCCCATTATCCATGCAAAAAAGCAAATATTGATGATCTCAAAATGATACCGAAACATTGTCATACGCCAAGACCTGCACCTATGGTAGGCGATGTTACGGGCCAATCCGCCCCGATAGGGCAAAAACAGCATGGGCTTCTGGCAATCAGCGCACGCATTCACGGCCATTGCACAAACACAAATTGCCGAAAAAAAACTGTTGGCAGACGGCAGTAATGCCATCGTTCCTTACGCCTACACGAGCCAGGCTACGAGGGCATGACAGACGGCAGTAATGCCATCGTTCCTTACGTCTACACCAGCCAGGCTACGAGGGCATGACAGACGGCAGTAATGCCATCGTTCCTTACGCCTACACGAGCCAGGCTACGAGGGCATGACAGACGGCAGTAATGCCATCGTTCCTTACGCCTACACGAGCCAGGCTACGAGGGCATGACAGACGGCAGTAATGCCATCGTTCCTTACGCCTACACGAGCCAGGCTACGAGGGCATGACAGACGGCAGTAATGCCATCGTTCCTTACGCCTACACCAGCCAGGCTACGAGGGCATGACACGGTCTTTGGTCAATGTTCAAACCACATCATTATGGTCAGGGGCGCAAGGATTTCGCAACGGGGCTTGGGGAGCGGAGCACAACTCGAAATATTTCACTGAAAACAGAGGCGCGGGCAATCTCTTGCGTGCCTTAGAACAACAACGCATGTTCTCGATCTCCTTGCGCTTACGCGTCTACCTTGAGAGTTTTAAGTGCAAAATTTGGTGGGGAACATTACCCGCCATAAATTTGAAAGCGGGTGAGCACGAAACCCCACGGTTAAAACGTGTGTACATCCGCACTTACTGTGGTTGCTACCTTTGTTAAGATATCAGTTGTTGAGCGGTGCTTTCAAAGCTACATTTCGTTATAGTAGAATGTAATGCAGCTTGCGCCAGATTGTTCACTAGCCATCCAACCGCAGTTGCTACAGCCGCTCATTCACGGTCACGACATGGTTGACATGGAAAACTCAACAACGACATGCAAAACTGCACTTCAAGATCTATATTCATGGACGAAATGCATCTGAGTGTTTTGAAATGTGTTTGTTGCTGTTCATCGGAGATGGGTGTGCTTCTAAAAGATTTCAGAAAATCGCCATCACGTCCTGAGAGTTTCATGGGGTGAATCCACAAACAAAACTACTTATGTACTATTCTCAACGTTTTTATGAAGTTTCTCTTTCAATACCAATAAGTCTCGGCGACCCACATCACTCGTCGCTGAGATCGTTAAGCATCGTAATTGATATCATTTTTGTAGACATGGTAAGAGCATCTGAGACGACCTTTCAAAAAAGACCTGAATATTTCACCGCCCTAAAAGTCGTCTCGGAATCCTGCCTCTGACAGGGTCGCTCCGCCTCCAGCCATTTGGCGGCAATCATGTGCCTATTAGCTGCGGCCCAACTGCCCTGTGCCACGCCGCCCCACAACGCCGCCGATACGCGTCAGCGGCGGCCGGGTGGCAAAAACGCCGCCAAAGATTCTGGTGGATGTGACCGTTTCTGGCGATCAACCTCTCTCTGTACTTTACCGCCGATCCGCCGTCTCCTTCCTCGGCCCCTCTCGTTCGATCCGCCGTCTCCTCCCTCTGCCCCTCCCCGTCTGTCCCTCCCGGCCGATCCGCCCTCTCGTACCCACAACTCCCACCCAATCCGCCCTCCCTCCCCTCTTCCTCGTCCGCCCGATCCGCCCTCTCCTCTCCCAATATCCCACCCGATGTGCCCTCTTCTTTCCTTGCCCCACCCCTGGCAGATTATCCCTCTCCTCCCCATGCCGCTCTGAGCCTATCTCCCGAGCCTGCTTCCTCTCTAACCTCCCTCCGTCATGTCTAACCCGTCACCCTCAATCTGAGCCGATCTCCCGAGCCTGTTTCCTCTCTACCCTCCCTCCGTACTGTCTAACCCATCACCCTCACTCGCTTCGCTCGTCAACCAGCCTTGCCCAACGATATCCTGGCCACTCTTCCCCGCCGATCTCCTGGCCACTCATCACCGCCGATCTCCTGACCTCACTTCCCC